TGTTATAAACAGATAAGAATAACTTAACCGATCTTCTTTAAAAACAGATAAGAATAACAGTTCTTATCTGTTTTCAAAGAAGATCGGTTAAGATTAACAGTTAAATTGTGCCGTAGCATTTGTTACTCTCTAAAGAATTCATTGGAAATAAGCTAGTAATTCGCTTGTTTAATTATCGTAACATCATAATTATTTAAAAATTATATTAGCACTGTAATGATGACACCGTAAATAATCGATCGAAAAAGAGAATCGATTTTTAAATGTGTTTTGTGATTGGCAACACTTTTTTTTATTCACAAACTAATGACATAATGATTTACCTAATTTTTATTATTATGTTTCCGGTACTTTTAATTTGTGCAAAAATATTCCCATTGTTTGAGGATAAATGAATACCGCGATTAATAACCATAAATAAAGATATAATTTTTTAACAAATTCATATTGTTGGGCGTTCCATGGCCGAAAATGGGCGTCCCCCTTTGTGTATGTTTTTTTCTTTTGTATTATTATGTATCAGAGAACTGAACGTATCAAGAAATTCCAACCATTACGCTCCCCGCTTTGTAGCCGCTGTGACGAGAACCGGTTTTAAATCAGCAGAAGTACGGTGAAAGGTGGGATGGATGACGCGCACCGCTCTCGGCCTAGTAACACGACGTGAGCCCGTAGTGCTTGCAGTGACACGGGACGCGATGATAGCCTCGAGCGACCGCTGCGCCGTAGCTGAAATTGATTGTTGGAATGTTTTGTAGATATCTACGTACGTAAAATAATAACGGAAAGCAAGATTGATTGTAAGTTTACTTGATTTGTGAAAATAAAGTTTAATTAGCGTAATATAGAGCTTAGCTAATGATTATGCTATAGTGAATTGGATATTTAGTGATAACTAATTTATTTGCGTGCATAAACAGTAACATGTACGGAGTTAATTAGCATTAAAACCAAACGTAGCTATGTACAAAATACAAACGTTTAAAGAAATAGGTTCAGCTATTTAAATTCTAACCATTCAACAGTGGGCACCAATTAATTACATGCTAGTAAAGACTTTAAAGTCGTAAATAGGCGCAATGAATGCAAATTATAGGCGGCTTGAAAAATAGCACTGGTTAAATGGCAAATGCTGCGGCAAAATAATGGTAAGAAATGGTAGCCAATTAGTTGATACGTAAGCAAATAAGTTTAAATAGGTGATTTTAACTCGTTGGGTATGTAGATTGTAGGTAGGTTTAACTAGGTAATTATTTTAGGATTGGTTTAATAGGTATTTTATTTGGTAGGATTTTTGAGTAGGAATAGTTTGTTTAGATTAGTAGTTTTATATGCGAAAGGGTATAGGATAGATAAGGTATATAAAAGATGTTGCTTAAGAATGGGTAGGTAAGGTAAGGCAACAAAAATAGGATTAGACTCCTTGTTTCCCTGTTCACACAAATAATTTTTTTTAGGAATAGTGGGACACGAAGAGGTTAAATAACAGGAACGGGCTCACTTTTAGCTGTCAAAACCGCTGCTGTGGCGCGTAGACTCCGCTGCACCTCAGCTTGGCCGGTTCTCAATAGCTGCCCTCTTGTCTTCTCTCCGCTTCAGATGAATTCTTCTTGACCGCTTCGTTGTTCTTAGGAATCGGGATGGTGCGCCGATTTAATAATCTTCGTAGGAGATGTAGTAGATCAGCGCGGCTTCTATTGTTGGTAGCTCGTGGTACTTGCGTTTGCGACGTTGTAAACGCGTTGTAAGTGCCACGCTCTTTGACCGTACTACGCGGCGGAATCGGAGTTCGTTATTTTAATTTATCACGGTCGCCACTACGTTCAATTAGGAAACATGAATAAAATAGGCAACTCACACGGTAGGCAAATAATTCTCAAATCATATCAAATCAAAAAGGTTTGAATAATAAAAATAAAAACTAATTTGGTGGTGATCGGGTCGCGAGCTATCGGCGAGTGACGGCCTTAGGTGCAGTGGTGAGAAAACCCCCCGCGCTTCTCGTACTCCCCGCGAACACCGTCCGTGCTGAAGTAACGGCGTCGACATGGCGTACTCTTCGCATCTTAGAAACAAGGAAATTAAATAAATAAACTGTTTCAACTGTACCCACAAAAATGTTTCAACTGTCCCCAACCCTAGCTCTTAAAATCTGTCCCTTTTGTTTTTTTGTTTTTGTTTTGTGTTTTTTTTCTTGTGCTTTCTTATTGTGCTTCGGTTACTGGCAACTCACCATCATGATCAGAATGCGGCTAATGGTAGCGGAATTTTTGGAATTTGGCTGGCCGACGCACTATTCGGAGCGTCAATTTGGGAACATACCGTGTTGTAGATTGAGGACCACCATACCGCAGCCGATGATGTGTGACTTACCACCCGACCACGTCAGGGCCATTCGACCATTCGCTGGAGTCGAAACCGACTTTGCTGGCCCCTTTCTCGTCAAGTACTCTAACCTACGTAACGCGCGTTCACATAAGGCCTAGCTGTGTGTTTTCGTGTGCCTCGCCACTAGGGTCGTTCACTTAGAACTTGCAAGTGCCCTCAGCACTGAAGTCCTTGTGACCACGCTGGGCCGCTTCTTATTGCGTCGCGGTTTGCCGGACCGGATCCGTCCGGATTGCGGAACGGATTGTAGGGGCACGGATAGATATTTTAAGGAGGTCGTCAAATTTCTGTCCTGCAACAGGACTTATCAGATGCGATGTTCGGGAATGGTAACCAGGGGGAAATTCGACTCTCCAACTTGCCCACGCTGGATCGTTGATTTGAGGTGGTTGTGGGTGCGAGAGCGCGTCTCCGTCGCGTTGGCGGCCGAGGTTTTGGTTGGAGATTCGGTCTTTCAACGTGCCGTCGCGTCCCTATCCCTGTTGCCAATTTACTCGCGGACATATGTCCTTATGTCCGGGACGGGGGTTTGTTTACGCCCGATTGCCTCGAGCGGGGTGAGGAAACGGTTAGCGTTGCGCGGGCGGCGGAGGCCAGCTGTGGCGTACATTCACAGCGAGACCGCGGGGCAGTCGGCCGGAAGCCTTAAGCGGTGAAACCGCGTCAGTTGAACGTCGGGCGTTACATAATCTCCCGGGTCGATTTAGAGGTCGCGTGTTTGTTTTTGATATAATTTTGCGTCGAAAGGGCGGCCTCCTGGTGTTATCTTATATTTGTACGTATCCGTGACGATGAGGCTTATTTCTTGTGTTTATTTACGCGAGGCCCGGGTCGATTATACTTTGAGTATTGTTTATGACCGGCATACGGTTGCGAGCGGCAGGTATTGACTTGAATGCCTAAGGCTTGTGTTAATTGTGCGCGCCATTTTGAATTTACTATTGAATATTAGAGTATAGTCTAGAAAGCCTCGAATTTAGTTGTCTGTTTTGAACGTGTTACGTCACAAGAGACCTACTTTGAATTTGTAGTGATTAAAGGAACTTTTATGCCGTTAATTGCATCGACGAGTTAGTAGTTTTGCTAAGTGAACCTGGGCCTTTAAACTTTGAAGTTTATAAACTAATATAGTGAAAATTGAAGAGGAAGTTTTCCATGGGTGAACGTCCCCTTGGGTGGATCCTACCATTGGAGAGAGGCACCGCCTTGGGATTTTCTGTCCAGGATCAGCGGGGATATCAGGTTACACCTCGAACACATTACTGCACACCACTTACATGCACATCACCTTTAACCTGACAAACGCCCTGTGGTTAACCCTACCTCCGCTAATCTGTAAGTGTTGCTTGCTTTGTTAGCCGTTATAGTTTAATTATCCATAGGTCAGTTGGACCCTCCCCTTTGTTACCCGTCGAATTGGACTACTGATGGGCCCTAGTTTCAATCGGCTTTTGTCAGGGTAACTGGGGGCAGTAACATATATATATCTTAAAAGTTTTAATTATAATCTTAACAGTTTTTTCATTAATATATTATAATATTCTTTTGATTAGAACGTGATTTAAAAATAAAAAGTGGACGAATGTTGCAATTACGTATTAATTTTATTTTATATGCCTATTAGCGGGAATAGAAAAAATGTCTATATCATTATGTAACATGGATAACTGAAATATTCATCAGCGGTTATTGGGGACCACTGTGACTTCGAGAGACCTCAACAAAGAGTCTACTCTTTGTTCAAAAGCTGGCAATACTCTTCGAATTCTTTCAGTGTTATAGAAGTTAATTACCATTAGTTAATACGCATGTTATTTTACCTCATCTTTCATTGAAAGAAAAAAAATCAATGAATCAAATGGTATGTGATAACGCACGGTAAAACCTGTTATTTATACATATTATGAGTTATATTATTTTAACTATAACGGCCCCAATACAAATCACTCGTACTAACTGCTTCCTATAAATTGCAGTAACCTGGCACTTTAGGAGAGTAATTGTCTGGAACCTCCGGCCGTGTACACAGCTGAGACATTATTAATCTTCTTATCCTCTCAACTGTACAAAACCTTCTAAATCTCGCTATTAAAAGAGTATGCTTCTGTCCACAACCTTTACAAGGTTGCAATTTACTTATAAACTTCAGACACGAAACAGCCGTAGTAAATTATCTGTATCTCCCTCTAACTCGTGCTCTTACAACACTGTTTTAATATCATTAACCTACTTATCTCGGTATTGAATTGTCGCTATTGAAGTACAAAATGTACCTTTTTTTTGCCTGTTTCGGGTCATTTTAAGTGGCTCACATTATTGTCGAGCTTGTGGTGTAAAAAAATGTACACAGAGTTGTGTTTTCTTTATTATTTACTGTAAAGTGTATTTATCAGTTTGTTTTTTGCTCCGTAGCGTACGGTCGCGCTTACTATTTGCATCGATTAGTGCAACCGGTACAATTTTAGCCAGTGCTTCTCAAATGTTTCTATATCTAAGCTTATAAGTTGTTAGTATCTGTCGAAATAGATACTCATACATAATTGTGGTGCATGTGGGGAGTTGTTATCAGAAGGTCCTCACTGCACTGTTTGTAATCAAGAGCTACATTTTCGTTGTGCTGGAATACCGAAGCTGGCTATCGCAAGCTGGGGGACAGAAAGTCCACCTGGCGATGTGTCAAGTGTAAGCAAACTCACTCTATTCAGTCTTCTTTATCACCAAGGATTGAATCCGATGCACTAACACTTAAGGAGATAAGAGCTCTCTCCGATAAACTGGCCCCATTAGAATGCTTTAAAGATGAAGGCATTGCCCTGAGATCTGAATTTTTTAAATCTTCACTAAATAGTACTAATTTGGCGCTAAAACAATTTAATGACAAAATTAAGGACTTTGAACAGCGTCTAGTACAGGTCGAGAAAGTACAAAAACATGCTAACCTAATTCAGACACGGTTAGAAAAACTGGAGCAGGAGTCGAACTCTGCGGAGCAATGGTCAAGAATGAATAATGTAGAAATAAAGGGAGTACCTCAGACAAGCGGTGAAAATTTGTTTGAAATCATATCCAAAATTGGGTCTATGATACAATATCCGATTACAAAGACTCAGGTTAATTTCGTCACGAGAGTACCAACCCGTGAGAAGGAGCACAACGAACCGATAATAATCTGTTTCTGCAATCGCTATGTGAAGGAAGATTTTGTGGCGGCAGCCAGATATGCATCGAAGACTAGTCATCTCACATCAAGCAACTTGGGATTTGTGGGTAACAACAGAATTTACAACAACCCTGCACAATAAGACCTTACTCTCTAAAACAAAAAAGGCAGTGATTGAAATGAATTTTCGCTACGTTTGGGTCAAGCATGCCAAGATACACGTAAGAAAAACCGATACATCGCATATAATTATGGTGAAGTCAGAAAGAGACCTTCCAAAAATAGTGTGTTGTTAAACTTATCTTTTTACTCTATTACTATTATTCATAATGTTAAACTTACTATTTGTGTGATGTTAAACTTATTATCTTTCTATTCTATTACTATTATTCATAATTTGTTTTTATACTACACAAAACTTTTAATATGGCAGATTGAGATGCATATGCATTCCATATATTATTACGTGTTCCTCATTTTGTTGTGCAATTACGTATTCGTTTACATAATAATTTTTAAACATCTTACCAATATCGATAAACTATTTTTAAATCTTATTACTTGTAGCTTGGTTCGCTTTTGGTCTATTCATTTGCTAATGAATATGAACAATATTTGCTTGTTAATACCTTGTACGTATATCATTGATTTTACTCATTGGTCATTAGTCGTGAGCACTCGAGACTCCCGTGTTGTATACGACGGCGCATTATTCTACCTTTATAAATTATCTTCCCGCTTTTATATGGTATTTTCGTTCTATGTTTTAAATGTTACTTTTCTAATACTAGTTAATTTACTTTTATTGGAATGCTGCATTATGACAATGAATTTAGTTATCGTTAAGTTCAATCATGGAATCGATTAAAATATATTACCAAAATGTACGCGGTTTACGAACAAAAACACAACTTGTTTAGGAACGTATGTTTAAATTTTTATGATATTATTATATTTACCGAAACGTGGTTGGTCGATAGTATACATAACAGTGAATTATTTGATGGCCGATATTTAGTATGGAGACGGGATCGCAATTACTGTAGTACTTCACAAACGCGTGGGGGTGGTGTACTAATTGCTGTGAGGAATGATCTTTCGGTAGTGGAGAGGGGTGACTGGCGTAGTTCAGCGGAAGATATTTGGGTCTCTATTTTACTAAAAAGATCCAAGCCGCAAGTGACATGTAATATAAACATTTGTGCGCTTTACCTGTGTAAAGAAAATATCGGTAACTCATATAATAACCAATTGTAAAATTTCACACAAAATATTAATACCATAATTATGTCAAATTCGTGTGATAAATTCATAATCGTAGGTGATTTCAATTTTGGTAGTAAAGTAGATTGGAATGTTTGCAGCGATAGTTGTGAGTTATTACCTACCAATTATTCCTGTCAATATATTTCTGATTTTCTCAACTCTGTTCAGAACTGCAGCTTATCTCAATATAATTGTAAACGTAACTTAAATGGGAGACTACTTGACTTGGTTTTCTCTAATGACCTTGTAGATATTAAGGAATGTTATGAACCATTAGCAATGCCCGCAGATATGCACCATAAACCTTTGATTTTAAAAGCTGACTTTGTTGAAATACACAAATTAGTTGATAAGAAGAAAAACACTTAACTTTTTCACAAAGGTGATTAGGACACGGCTATCAGCTCAGCTCTTGACTAGGTAGACTGGTACGAGCTTTTGGGAAATGACTCTCTAGACAATGTTGTTAATCTCTTTTATAATAAATTATATGAACTTAGGGACCAGTTTATTCCCATAAAATCCACTAGACGTTCGTCACACCCTCCATGGTATAATTCTGCGTTACTAAAGGTCTTAAAAGAAAAACACAGGTATCATCGCAAGTTTGAACTATATGGTAATTTATCCGACTACCAATCTTTGGCATTATTACGTATAAGGGCTAACCAGTTAGAGCGGGACTGCTATATTGATAAAGTCGAATCTTCCATTACTAGTAACCCAAAAATTTTCTGGTCTTTTATAAAAGGTAGGAATAATGCATCTGCTACTTCTAATGTAATGTATTATATATTACGAAGAATCTTCTGCGAACACTGGTGAAGGAATTAGTAACTTGTTCGCTAAATGTTTTAGTACCAGATTCGTTAAACCAGAATTGGAAATTTCGGATCCTAAATTATTTCCTATAATTAATTATAATATTAACGGTATTAGCTCAATACACATCTCAGAAAAAGGTATTTTAAAGCTAGTACAAGGCCTCGACATCTCTAAATCTGGTGGCCCCGACCACATACCATCAATATTTATCATAAATTGTGCGGAAAGCTTAGTCAAACCCATTAGTATAATCTTTAAACGTTCTTTAACAGAAGGAATAGTTCCACAAGTTTGGAAATCTGCCTTCATAGCACCGGTATTTAAAAAAAGGCGATAAGTTAAATGTCGGAAATTATCGTCCCATCTCGAAGTTATGCCTGTTCTCTAAAGTTCTTGAACGAATCGTTTATAATGAAGTCTATTATGCAGTACAAAACTGTTTGGGTGAAGAAAAACATCGGTTTCTTCGAAAGCGTTCAACCACTTCTTATCTCAACTCGGCTAATGAATTCATCACTAAAGGCATGGAACAGCGCACACAGGTAGATGTTATTTACACAGATTATAGCAAGTGTTTTGATCGTATTAAACATCGTGTCCTTTTACAAAAGCTATTAGCTGCGGGAATACACGGTGACTTGTATAGATGGTTTTGTTCGTATATAGAGAATCGATCACAGGCTGTGGTTTTGCATGGTTACATCTCTGGTTGGTGCACAATTCCATCTGGTGTTCCTCAGTTCCCCCTTTTATTCGCAATATTTATTGCTGACATTAAGTCATGTTTTAAAAATTCTCTTATACTACTTTACACCGATGATATGAAAATTCTTAAAACTGTTCATAATCTAACAGAAGTTAAACGAATTCAAAAAGAACTAAACAGGTTTTATGATTACTGTAAACTCAATAAGCTTCAATTGAATATCTCCAAATGTTCTCATATAACATTCACACGACAAAGATCTAGAATAGGATTTGGTTATACTCTTAATAATCAGACTATTAGCATGGTAAATCATATTCATGATCTCGGCGTAATATATGCTAGTAAATTGGTATTCAACAAACACATTGAATATATTGTCAACAAAGCATCCACTAACTTCAGACTGCTTCCGCACTCTTAAAGCTATTAAGATTTTATATTGCTCATACGAGCGTAGCCATTTAGAATATGCGTCCCAAGTTCCATACATATCCTCAATATAAAGTTTACATAGCTTGTGTTGGCGACGCGCCTATAAAAATGTTTCAGTTTATTAAATCAACCGATGACGTTGCTATGAAAAAAGGGGTAGTCACGAGCAACGACGCTCTGATAAGAGAATGCTTAGTTAAATCTTTAAGAAATGTCGAATTAATGATATGAAGGTCTTGGGTTCGACTCCCAGGCCGGACTAGTTTGTTTGTTTTCCTAAGTAATATCGCTTAATAAATTCGTAAGGAATTTAAGATATAAATTATGTTACCGGATTTGTTCCCCGGTTGAAATCATCTTTCAAATGATGTAAATTCATAAGAATATTAAAGCGAAGTTAAAGATCGGATTTGTTCCCCGGTCGAGATAATCACTCTGTGCATAGGCAGAATTAATGGATATTAATTGCATAAATGTTGTTTTGTATAAGTTTGATACGTTTTGTACGAAAACAAATGCCTATTTGTTATGATTGATTAATGAGAACATTCATTTATATTGTTATCTGATTAAAGATAGTTTCATACAGTTCGAGAATTGTATAAAAGCATTTAATTTGCCTAATATGGTCAAAATTAGTGTATATCAGACTTCCATTTTTTCTGATAGCCGAGAGCCGTGCAAAAGTTAGTTGTTCAAATAGTGTGAGTTCATAGACGCACGCTAGGCCACGCCCTTAGGAGGCCGAATATGTAAAAATTTAAAATGTTTGTAATTCAGTGATTTATGTAAAAATTACTTGTAAAATATTTCAGGTTAATTGTACGTGCTAAAAAGGTAAATTCTGTGTTATTTTCATGTGAAAATTCCTGTGTATAAGTGAAATAATGATAGTTTTGTATAAGAAATTTAAAAGTGTTTTAAATAGTGAAATAAATAGAAAAAATGTAAATTAAACTATTGTATTGGTTAGCTTATGTATAAATTCAAGTGAGAAACATTGTTTTAACTTTCTGTGTTAAATATTTAAGAAATTTCGATTTCGAACTTGTGAGTAAAATAGGCAGTTTTCGTTTAATAAATAAAAGGTTTTTTATGATATGAAGATATGATGTATATCATGGTGTAGATATTGTTTTGTACTACCTATATTGATAAATTGTATTTGTATATGATTTGAATAAATAAAGATATTGAGTGAAACGTGAGAGAGTAATAGTACAAATTCATGTAATTGAGTTGCGCAAGCGCGCGAATGGCGCGGCTCACTTTCGCGTATAGCTCTGGGGTAGCTTAGTGAACGGGTTTTATTGCAATTCGTTCGGGAATCCTTCGGGGAAGTTCGGAAATAGTTCGGAAATAAATAAGAAAATCCGAGGAAAAGTTCAAGAAAAGTGAAAAACCAGCAGTATAGGGAAAAGTGATTACTCTCTCACGGAACGGTTTGAAGATAATTGCTGTTTCATTCCCAAGATCCTTTAAGTTATACAGTCCACATCGAAGAATTAAGGCGTCGGGACCGGGACGACTTCGGAAGACCCGTAATCCCCGTCTGAACCTACTTGCTGAAAAGGAAGAGGTTATCGCCCTAGTGTGTTACTCCGTTGCGGAGATCACATACGTTGTTCCCGAACCCAACGTAGGCGTGATAGGAGGCCGGATCGAGAGAAGCCTCGATTCCTGTTTCTTAGTACCCGATCCGCTAGGTCCTTTTCAATTGGTCCTTTTCAGGATCAAGAGGGACACCGACCTGGTCCTTTTCAATTGGTCCTTTGCGGCCGATTGAGAGGACGCCCGAACCTGAGTTCCTTTTCAATTGGACCTTCGGAGCCGGATTGAAGACCACCCGAACCCCGCCAGCTGGATCAAGGAATCAGCTGTGGACTGCTGGTTGTGGAAGAAGAAGACCT